CTCCTAGCAGATGTTATCTCTACCAAGAAGGCAACCTTCCAGTTAAGTATCCGCAATGGGACCTCTCGTAGAGGTTCAAAGGGAGGCCCAGTAAGTACCTGCAACACCCTTGCAAGATCCCAGGAATGGTAGTGACGCACTGCTGAAGGTTGTAAATTGGTGGCCCCCTTCGGGAATCTCTTCACCATCGGGTGATGTGATAGGGGCTGCCCCCCTCCCCCCAGGTAAGTATTGTGCTAAGAGCCGCAACCTGTCTTCTGTCAGTGTTAGGGGACAATCCTTTTTCTAGACCATCCTGAAGGAATTCCAGGGCCTGGGAGACAGAAGATTCAGCAGGAATGATGTGTTTGGGCTGTTACGGTTATCGCCGCTCCCAAAAGGGCCGTCGAGACTGATTACTCCTCTGTTGTCGGTACAGCTGCTGCCTTGACTGTTAGCTGTACCCAGTCTGGGGACAGAAGCCCAAGGGAGAATAATCTGAATAGGATTATTCAATAGGAGGGTCAACGGTTGGCCATAGATTGACTTGTCTAGCTGTTCTGCAACATTGTAGAATCTTCTATCATTAGTGGAGGGAGCGGGTCCAGATGTCGGCAGCAACCACTGCCTCTGTATTGTGTCCACAAAGAGTTGTGGAGCCGGAATGATATCGGCCCCTAACTTGTGTTCTTTAAACAGGGCGCTGGGTGTTGCTGGTTGTGGCGGGACAGCGGCTGTCTTAGCCTTACTCAGCAGTGGTTTGAACAATGCGGGGGGGGGGAATAGGCCGGTGCAGACTGGCTTATCTGGGGTCGCTCCTTCTTCTTCTGAGAGGTCTGCATCCTTAATTTCCCCCTCCTCAGAGGCTGGCAATGGGCTGTGTTGTGCCTCGATGGGGGATAGGTGGTCGACCCCGCCTTGTGACAGGCGGGGCCACTGGTGGGGCCTGGATCTTTTGTTGGAGCCCCGCTGCTATTCCGTTGGATGGCTTCTGCAATTCTGCAAGTCCTGAATACCTAATGTGGGTAGTACTGCGACCATGGGAGATACTTTTGGCAGAGCTGTCAAATGACCTTCTTGCCGAAGCCCAGCCACAATAGGAGTGAAGGTGGCCACAGGGGCCCTAGCCAGTGCGTGTGGAATGTCACCCCAAAGCCCAGATGTATTAACGGGCAGCATTGGGCTGAAAGGCCTTTGCGCAATATCCAGTTGCAGCGGGGGCAATGGACTGGGGTAAGAAGGTGGGACCTCCCCCCTTTTTTGCATGTTGTGGGGAATGTCCTTGCTTCTCCAGGTGTTTAGTTTTAGATGTGGCCTTGGTGGCTTTCTTAGACTTAGAGCCCTTGTGTGATGAGGAAGAGGAGGTCTTAGTACTGGCCTTTTCCCCTGGAATCACCTGCGCAGGTGAAGGCCTGGATGGAGAGCAAGGAGACCATGGTTGGGGTCTGTCATGTCTCTGTGGGCCTCGGCAGCGATCTCTGGTACGCTACTGTCTGCCATCTCACTCTGACCACAGTGATGTTAGACAAAATGGCGCCCGTTAGTAAGCTCTGCCCAATTCAAAATGGCGGCCACGCCACTTATTCGTGCTCTTTTTAACCGTTTCAGGCTTTGCGATGTCCCTGCCCTGTAGACCGTTCGGAGTGCTGAATCCCAGCTGTCGCTCAAGCCTTTGGCGCTGTTCTAGCGCTCCGCCGCTGAGCTCCGTGTCAGAAGAGGTGTCAGGCAAACTCGTGCTGGTGCTGTGAACTGCACTGAAACGCGGTCAGCTTCGCTAAGGGACACGTCGGCCGACCCAACAGATATCCCGATCTGCACTCTCACGCAATTAGCCTTGCAGTCGTAGCTGCGGAAAAGGCCTCGTCACTTTGAATTGCCTCAGTTTGTGGATAAGCCTCAAGGGTAAAGGTGGTCAATCCCTTCAGAGGCAGAGGCAGGGCCTGTGAGGCAAAGCCCAGCGGCCAGTAGGTGACAGCCTGAAATCCACCAGTAGAAAGTTTGCAGCCAGAAACTTACATAATTGAAATTCAGCAGATGGATAAATTGCTAATTAACAAAGACAGGAACGGATAACACGACCGTCCCAGAGTGGACTGAGTCGGAAAGCTGGGTGGGGACACTCACAAGGCGGGTTACATAGACCATTAATTAATTAATAATCAGACTCAGTCCAATCAGAGCATGGACTGTGTTAACCCATTCATGGATGCTATCTCCACCCTTACTGAGGAAAACAACTTCAAGAATGTGAAATGTGCTGTAATTAACAAATTAATCCTTAGGTTATACATCTATCTAGCTCTGCATAAAGCCTATGCATCAAAAGGGAGTGACAAAGTGATAATACCTATCAAATCACCGATGCAAATGTTTTCCACTTTTCTTTTTTCATGGCTTCAGTTGCTTTATAACTAGAATCTTATTATTGGCAGCAATAATCTGCATGTGCTAATTATTTTGTATAGTACTAGTTAATGGAATTAAATCTGGAATGGGTTTTGGGGGGTTTTTTTTGGCTAATGAGAACAAAACGCACAATACCCACTGTGTGCTAGTGGAAGACAAATGATGAGACATTGTGAACCCTATTTGCAAAATTGTTAAATTTCTACTTTTGTCAAAAAGAAAATATGAAATATTTTCAGGACCAGGAAATATTTTCATAACGTGTGTTATGTTAACAGACTTACCTTCCTTCGTTAACCTTTACTTTGTCTCCAAGGCATTTGAAGTTTTCAATGTAACCATCACTGCAGTTGAAACTACGCCAATCTGGTTTACATATGTCCAGAAAGTGAGGTCTCAATCTACCTATTGAATATTTGGCAATGTCTGTCAAAGATTGGCTAACAGCTGCACCAAAAAGGAATGTCCCCAAAGCCTTGTAAATAGCAGCAACGTAGTTATTTCTCACAAATGAATTAGAGTGCAAGCAGTTGTAATATACTGAAAGGGCCTCTCCTATGATTATCTGGAATAAAAAAGAAAAGAATGTTTTAAAAATTGCAACACAAGTAAGAACACGCTGTATACTTAAGTCTGAACATGGGCTTCCATTTAACTAGGTAACAATTAAGCCTATAAATAATTGTATAGACCCTTTAGATGACTTGCTGCCTTAGAAAAGTGAGAAAAATCTTCAGGGATGACTCACACATTGGTGAGCACTTCTTTACTCTCCTACTATCTGATAGGAGATATAGAAGCATAGCCAGTCATACGAACAGGCTGAAGAACAGCTTTTATCCATGGGCTGTCAGACTCCTGAATGAAATGTAACATCAGAAGTATGTAGTATTATAGACTTGCAGGGCTGGTGCAACATGTTTATATTGGTGTAATATATTATAATATAATGTTACGCACATATATGTATAGAGGATTGTGTGTTGTTAGTATGATTTATTGATTTAGGGATTTTCTTTCTTTCACTGTGAGTTATTGATATATATTTATGTTGGGGGTTGCACTAAGGGAGGCTCAGCCAATCTCATTGTACACATGTTATGCACTGATAATAAAGGTTGAATTGAATTAAAAATGACTGGTTCAAAGAATAATCAAAAACAAAGTGAAGGAAATATAAACTTTCATTTTTTTTGTTCCTGTCTGGGTTTTAATGAACAGATAACATGAATTAGAAATCTTCCCCTCTATCCTTACCACCAGACAAAACACTGCTTCCTGGAAAATCCAGCAATGGTACCATACGCAAGGAACACATTTAACTTTTCATCAAATTTCCACTCATTCTTAACCTTTTACTCAAAAGAAATGGTTTCTTTGCCAAGAACATGATCGTTCTGGAAATTCAGGAACCAAGTGAAAGGGCTAGACAACAATGTTCTCGCCAGAAATGTTAAAGGCCAGCTTCTAAACATGGGAACCTCCCAGGCTTCAGCTAGATGGAATCTTTTAAACCGGACACGCTTCCTTCAGAATATAATGGTTTCCTAAAACAAAAACAAAGGCGCCAAAGGTGGAAATTTAGAATTATGGAAAATAACATTTTATAGTGTTGGTATTCAACTTGGCTGGAGCATTTATGCTTATCTATAACTTGAGTTCAAGTTATAATTATAAGTGGATTGTTTATTATAACCATCTTATTCTAAGATAATGTTGCAAGTTCTAACTATGGATGTGTTTCAGTTTTATCAATATTATATTATGCTTTTATTGTCAAACTTTTATCATCCATATATTTCTCATGTTACCTTGAGGGAGTTTTGCTCTTGAAAGCAGTCTACTTCAAGAATCATTTAATAATACTGACTTTGTATACAATGCTACAGCTTTAGTTCCTCCTATGTAAGTGGCTCATAATGGCTTAGTAAACGGTAGTCTAGGAAATATTGATATCTGATTGAATTATACAAAAGCTGGAGTTTGCAAAAGCTCTATGGAAAATGGGAACAATTGGCCTGGACTCATATATGAAGGCAGCAACATCAGCAATAGCTAACAAAAAAAACCCAGCATAAAGTAGTCAATTTCCTTTATTATTCTCAGGGTTAGGGTAGGTGGTAAACCATCTTGGGAACATCTTCTCAAGAAGTTTCATTATATTTCATTACATTTCTACGCAAAGCCACTTCTTAGAGAAGCTATTATTTTTTAAATATGACTTCATGAAACTTTACAGAATGAACAAGATTGTCCTGAAATATTATTTATAGTTTAATATATTATGTCATACTTGTTGCATACAGTTTGATTACCACCTTGTCAGTTTCAGGGCAGGGATTTAATTAGCACTATTGTCAGACGATCATTTTGTGGCCAGAGAAACTCATCAGTGCAATCCAGTTAGCAGCATTTTACTCAATGGTTCCATCCAAGCAGCTTGTTTAATTGCTGGTAGCTGTTTCAGTTGTTATGCAGGACTAAACACTTTGAATTAGTTTAGAATTCTTCTGTGATTTGTTCATCTCTTTGGTTCATAATTTAAACAGAAGAAAAACAGAAAGATGAGTTGCATGGTTCTTAAATATGAGTGAATTTTATATATCTCTTTGAATGTGTGATAAAGGTGATTCAGTATCAACTGAACTTCAGCAATGTCTAAAAATCAGTATCAATGGTAGTAATGGTTGTCTTCAAATGTCTTATGATATGGTGTTGTCTTCAAATGTCTTATATAGTGTCCCTTAAAGTTCTCCCATTTTTCCTGTTACTCAAAAGTCTTTCACAGAAATAAAAGCAGCAACCAAATTCAATATAACCCTTTTATGGATGAGACACCAAGGAGAAGCATATCAGGAACCCTAGAAGTTCCATTTCAGTTTCTAGAATATTTGATACAAATCCGGAAGCTAAATGAGTCAGAATGTCATGCTTTATTAATTAGGGATGTAGAAACAATATTGAATGGAAGGAAAAACATTAAGATTGTCTCTCCATCTTTATTTGTTGAGATATTGCAGGCTGCCAAGGTGAAACATAATCATGTATTTCTACAAGACAGCATATTTAGCTACGACAATGTTCATTAAAAGGCATATGTGCCTATGTAGGTAACCACAAGACATGATTTCTATTATGCCCCATGAAGTGTTCTTTTTACAGCTTGTCAAAAATTTAACAATGCAGCTACTCACTGAATTTATAAGTGATCTTATTATATCTGTGCTGCAACCTTTATAATAATATGTCTCACTATGAAATCTTGCTTTTAAAGGCCCTAAGGAGTGAGTAGACCTAGCTTCCTTTATAACCCACTCCTGAGTGATTCCCTAGAATCAACATGCTTTCTGAGAGCATTTTGCTGAAAATAAGGTTATGAGCCGGAAAGAACTAGAAATATCATCATCTCAGGTAACAATGTATAATTTGTTCAATGAGGCATACCACATCTGAACTGAGGGGTGCCATGAAACAGAGATAGCCTAGGTTTGTTGAACATACTTGGTAATTGGGTTTTCAGACCACAAAAGAGCAATACCAAAACATTTTATGGGCATTTCATTCCATGTGGCAGCAAGAGTTTGTCAGCCCAGTTATTCAATCTGAGTACTGAAAACATATATATCTGAATTCCAAAACACTTAATAAATACCATACTTTTCTTGTTATCATGGTCACTCGGATTTTAGCAGCCCAAATATAGTTTGCCTATTTTCATTACATCTTGGAAAATACTTGAACTTGCTTTTTTCTATGTTCATGAAGTCAACATTTAAAGGCTTTTCACTTAGTTAAATGCTGCAATCTGTTGTTCACAAAAGAATATAAAATGTGTTTACTTTTCAGAGAGGGAACAGTCAAAAAGCCAATTCTAGGCATTGAGTTATATTTTCCATTAAGTAGAATACAGTATGTACTAAATACATAGATTAGATAGTTAGTAAGACTGGAAAAAATCCAGACTAGAAGACATCTGTGTTTAAAAATGCATATTTGGAAGAAAAAGAAAACACTGTTAGAATGATTTCTCCATTTATGTGCTTCACATTCCACAGAGGTCTGGGTGCTTTTTAATAAAACAACAACAACAAATTCTTCAGGCTTCGCAGAAGACAATTAAATTACCTAATTCTAATTTATTTTCTACCCAACATATTGTGAAGCTAAACACAATGAAATGCCTGTACTTATTTATTCATTTATTTATTAAGTTACTTATGCAATTGCTATAACAATTTCTTGGACTAACATAATACATTTCACTGTTTTCAATTATTATAGTTTAAGTTTTTTTATTATACAATTCTACACAAAGGTTTAGGCATGCCTAATAAAATTATATATTTCAATGAATCTGTAAGTAAACAGAATTTGACAAAACTTGTACATCAAACAAAGGTAAATGTGACATCCTTCTATAAATCTGAATGCAGGCTATTTTTTATAAACATTTTAAATCATATTTTATTCCAATTCCATTTTAAATTGCTTTTATCAAATTTTAGTAATAATTTGTTTCTGGAACTTTGCACTTTGATGTGGCCTGAGGGCTAATAAATAAACAGTCAATGTCAATTCAAACAGTCATTGCCTATTCAAAATAAGAAAATAGCGCCTATGGCAAATGGAATAATCTGATTGACACTCCTTTGATTTTTACCATTGGCAAAAATCAATAGTTCCTGAAGAGGAAAAAAGGTTGAATATTTCAAGAAGACAAGGATTTGGAACATACCTTACTATTATCCATAAAGTACTCAAAGAGGAAAAAAATACCAAAGTTTTGGAACGCCTTCATATTCCTCCATCTTCAATAATATTCAAAATTTGTAGGAGCTCCCAAACAAGAAATGCATGCAAGGACATGTTAAAATATTTTTAAACTAAGGAAGAATTGAGAAAAAAAGAACCAAAATGCAAAACCAGAATGATTTAGAAAGTATTATTTCAGCCAAAAGGGGTACAATAAAGTACTGACAGAAAGGCTGTCCAATTTTCCATATCTGCCATATTCATTGTTTTTTATTTTATTTGGAATCTATAAACAATAGCACATATAGTAAATATGCATTTAAATTTGAGAAAGGATGTCATATTTGACTTTGTAATGTATGTCAGTTTCTTTTTACCCAGGGATTTGCTGAAACATAAAATTGAATCAGGGATGCCCGAACTTTTTCATAAAACCATGTTTCCTCTGCTTATATAATTTGAATAAGTCTTTGATAGGACAACATTACACTAGAAGTCAAGAAGACTAGAAACTCAGTTTTCAATGAAATATGAATACAGAAAATCAGGTGAAAATCCATCAAATGCCTTTTCATAAATGCCTAGCATGAGTTGCAACAAAGAAGGCAAATCCCTTTCCTTTTTAGTGAATGTGGTCATGAACCTTGAGAAGACCCTTGACTAAAATGGTTTGAAACTACTTTTAGAATAATCACTAACAAAATAGCAAGAATTGTGTTGTGGGAACTACTGAGATTATTTTTAGTTAAACTCAAGATAGCAAAAGAACAGAAATCAGAAGGAAAGATTAATCCATTCACTTATGCTGCATTT